AGTATATTCTACTCAAATTATTTCTCATCGCTGGTTATCTATTTTTTCCAATTTTTTGCCCTTTTTTTAGTTCACTCAGGCGGTGTTCTACATTCGTATAACAAAAAAAGAGAAGAAGTGAACAAAAGGAAAGGTATCGAGTATGACCGCAGACGCAGCCTAGTGTGTTTGCGCGCCCAATCGGTAAGTGCCCAAAATACTGACTTGTTAGTCACTGGTCTTACCTACTCCGCTGTCGTTGTGTGACTATTTTTGTATACCATTTGGTTGTTAGCATTTCTCACTTAAGTCCTTTCAACACATCGCGAACGGGTTTCGCTGTATGGATGGATGGACGAATAATATTTCGCTCGTTGATTGAAATTCATTCATTGTTATTGGGAGCGCTTGGTATAAATCATTTTAGCTGATTTTAAAACAGACAACACCTCTCTTGTTCCAGCAAACGCAGAATATTGTCTTCCTGCCTAAGCCACTTAATTCCGCAACCGATGCCTAAAATAGTTGAAATAGATCCACATTTCATCCTCGGTTAGAATACGATGCAATTGTGTATCAATCGGTCAAAGAATATATGCTATCCGACATCGCTCTTTATTTGTCATAAAACTCGATCTTCGGTGTGGGAATCAGTAATTTTGCATTGTCATATGTGTGGATAGGGTGACTAAGGTGTAAAAAACACAATTTCAGAGATGTATGTCATCTGCACGTCTCGTTAGGGCCATCTAAAGGCAAATTTCGGTTTCATATTTATATGCCAATCTAAAGTGAAACAATGTCTCTAATGTAGGGTTAAATTGTTACGTAAATTAAGCAAGGAAAATACAACAACAGCAAAATTTATGAAAATTCTGTTAATTACAGAAAAGTATAGTACAGTGATCGAGAAACAATTAATATTTCCTATGCCATGCACGATTGACTAGAAATTGACGATATCTGGCAAATTCTATGTAAGCTGCATACGGCGCTTAATTGCTTACAGTTGCTCTCGCTCCTTACAACACCTGTTACGTGAGGGAACAAGATTATTTTCCTCTTAGAGTTTTTTTGTTTTAATTTATATACTCTCCATTAATGAAATGAAAGAAGAGAAGAATATAGCAAGTTATGCTGCGTTTATCAAGTGCGGCTGCGACACTAACGATCGTAGAATAGAATATTAAAAATCAGTTTGAATTCGGTATACCAATGTGACGGTTCTATAAATGGGACATAGTACTAATAATAAGCAAGTGAATATTTTTTTTTAATGGAAATAAGAAAAATAACCAAAGGGTAAATTTATTAATACATTATCCAATAAATACAATGAGGAGCCTGGAAAAACGTTAATAAAGTGTAAAAATATTATGTAAATAAAAAAAAATTATTTTTTACAAAAAATGAAATAAAATATAAAAAAAAGTAAATAAAAAAAATTGAAATTCAGTTGGAAAGGAAAGTTTTTGAAAATAGGAATAATTTTCTATAATGTTCTGCACTGAAGGATAGACAGATAATGACCTTGTCAGAAAAAAAACATATTATAGATGGCATAAAGTGTACATTTCTTTGATCGGTACAAGATTCTAAATCTAACCACTTTTGAAATTCATACGAAAGCAAGATTTAAATTGGAATGACTGCAGATTAAGGGGAAGAAGGAATCACTAATATTGTATTAGTTTTCCTCTTTTTTTTATTTAATGCCAATTGTTTGAAATTTTTAAATTAATTTTATATCTAAAAGTATTTTTCTTATTTATAAAAATAATTGGAATTGGGAAAGTATTTAATGCTTTTTTCGTTTTAAACACTTCAGTGTTAAATGAGGCTTTTTTTGGCTTTGATTTCTTTATGAAAATAGAAGAAAGGTTCAAAGGGTTATCTGTATCTTTAAAAAAATTTTTATGAAAGTTTTTTCTTTAAAACCTTTTTTTGGTATGTAATCAAAATCTAAGGAACTGAAATTTGAATAGGCGACAATGTTGACGTCAGATTCCTGCGATAAAAATGAATCAATGTTTTCTTCCTAATAAAATCTTCACCATTTTCGACTTTCATGGCAGGATAGGAGAATAATAGATTTTATTTATCTATTTTTTTTTTTTAATATGGTGTAGTCACTCAGGGGAAGTTTCTTTTTAGCATAACAGGGTAACGCTCGGAAAAATGCGGAAAGAGAAAAGGGCAGGAAATTGGCTGTAGTTCAATGGGTATATGTGCCCAATCGGGAAATGCTATATATACTTTTTGCCTATTGAGTATTCACTGTACTTACGACCAAGTGCGCTCAAAGGCACTTGGATTTGAACTAGCGAACATTGGCTGGGTACTCAAGGAATGTTTATCAGAGTCTCTGAAAGACTATGAAATTCGTAAGATTTTAAACGTACCAATGTACGTTTAAAATGTACGCATACGATCGCTAACTTTTGTACACATCCAGTTTAGAGATGAATATCCATCAGTAAGACGACGTGCAACCAAAAAGTTATTGCTTGCAACGTTCATAGCAGATATTAATTTGTAAATAATTTGTCCAAAGACACCCAAAATTATCCTCCGTACATGCATTAGTTTAAGCGGGCGGGCATCAATTAAATCTTAGTCTCATGCGAACATAATTTTTTTTCTTACTTTAATTTTAGTTTCTAAAAGTATGTGTGTATTGTAAACATTACAAAAAAAGTAAAAAACATTTCGTACTTCTAACGAAATGTTAATTAAATGGCCGCTATTCTTAAATTTCTCAAATAAAAATTTCTATTGGCGTTTTTTTGAAATGTTGCCTTTTTATGGAATTTGTATATTAATGTTTCTAAAATTTTCAACGGCTGACGAGAGTAATGAAGGTAAGCATGAAAATATTAATTAATAATTCGATATCAATAAAATAAATAAATAAATCAAAAAAAAAAAAAAATTGTGCCATATAATAAAGAGTATTTATTTTTCAAAGAAATTTATTTTATAAGTATTTATTGTGCTCATAAAACTGTCTATAATTGTGTCAGCAGAGTCATTAACAAATCGTTTCAATGGGTTCGCATATGAATCGATCGTAGCATAACTAAGAAAGTGACAAACGTCTTTATACGAAGCCTAATTGCCCATCATTTTTAACGCGCGTAAAAAGTTCTCTCCATTTTAAGTCTTTTCTAATAAATTTCAAATCCATATCTGATATCTGTAGACGTCTATGTAAACGGATCATTTGCTTTCTTAAACTGACCCCACACCTTTTATTTCAGTTAAGTAAAGAAATAGAAAAACGAAGTATTGATTTTTGTAATAGACATAGACAGACAGTTATGCAGAGCTATAGTATGAACCAGGAAGGACAGACAGATCGTTAAGAATATTAATCTTGGGTCTTCCGTTAATAAGTAATATGAAGATGACATCGTTTGCCTATTGTCAGTCTAATCTAGTGGGAATCATATCAACCAATCGAACTCAATGGTTGGCTCTCAACTAAGAATATGAAGAGTGGAGTTATCGCGCACCAAATTATATGAGGAATACAACATTCCTCTTTTCTTCGATGGTGCATATAATAAAGAAGATGTAAAACTATAAAAAGTAAAAAAAAAACTGAACAAGCAAGCTTATGCATATGCTATTGAATGCTTGAACTGAACTTAATTATCAAAACATACAAGAGCATGTTTAAGTTCGTTTGACGAGGTTGACTTGGCAATTTGTAAATAAGTCTTTCTCTTGCTTTGCGGAAGAAAAATGATTGTACAAATTTCAAATATGTATAAAAACAAAACTTTATTAACGCAATTCATTTATTATTATTTAAATTGACTATAATCGTTTTGAGATTTGAAAATGGTTCCAAACCTAAATGTTCACAAATAAGTTTCCAATGGGACCACTCTTATTAAGGCATAGCTCAGATTCAGAGTGTTTTCAAATAATTTCGTTGGTAACTTTAGTTTATATCAAAGTATACAGAAACTTTCAACGGCTTCGCATAATTCTTTTCTCATTTTTTAAGATATGTTATGCTTTTAAGAACAGTTCCCTTTATCTAATGTTAAAGTAATATCACAATAATTTCATGGCATAAATCAAAAGTAAATGTTTCAGTACAATGCATTCCGTTAGTTTCTTTTTTAGGTACTGTATGGTTGCCGGTGCAAGACAGTTGTTTCTTTCTCAAGGTGAACCAGTCACCGACCTGAGCGTCCTGCATTTTAGTTTACTTTCTCTTCTAGAAAGTGGATAAATTACTGAACAGAGGAAGTGGTGAGACGAAGAAATATAAATAGAAATAGATAAAGAAAGCGAGAGAGAGAGAGAGAGAGAGAGAGAGAGAGAGAGAGAGAGAGAGAGAGAGAGAGGGGGGAAGTGAGAGAGAAAGATTGAGATATCTGTATAAAAAATCATTGAAAGAGAAGTCAGTGATGAAAGGCTACGTTCTGGGGGCTTTATGTCTATACAATTGAATTGCTTCGTTATTTCGTGCTATTACGGATGCGGCGACGATTTTGCGAACACGTTGTTGGTAGCAATCATCATTGACGATGATGTGGTCACTTTTACTGCTTGATTTATAACGGTATATTTGGTATAGTTCTCAATGAATCAAAGACGACATCTATATATTTGTTTAAACCGTTTGGTGTTTTAGTATGTTCATTTAATGGCAGAAATTTATTTTGAAATTTTTTTTTTGGTAAACTGATAGAGTGCACGTCCTATATAAATGCAACATTAACAATATTCAGCGAGTACTACTTGGTGTTAAATAATTTCATTGATAAATGTTTATAGGAAAATTTATTAAAATTAAGTCAAATGGCGTTGAATGCAAGAAAGAAAAAAATAAGTTTCAACTACAACAACAACAACCAGATGTTATCGATAGACGAAACGATAGATAGAGACTTAAAGGCTATATAAAATTCATAAATGATGAACAAACATAAATCATTTAACAATCTTCGATAAGAAAAAAAAAAAAATAAATAAGAAAAATGCGTATATAAGTAAAACAATTTCTTTAAATAAATGCCAAGTTTCCGTTTCAAGATTTCAAGATTTCCCTTTTTTACGCAATTTCGATTCTTAATATAAATCGAGGACAACTGATTGATTTAGTTGGTCATACGCACTTGTTCGCTTGGGCTCGTCAAACATAACCGCATTATTAATGGAAAACAATTGTTTGTTAGAACTTGACACTAATTTAAATTAATTTCTTTAGCTTCTTTTCTCTCTTTAAAACTATGTCTTTATGCAACGAACACGTAAGCATAATAATAATCATATGTAACTATGTGAATAACTAGCGGTGATTTCTAAATAGTTACCGATTATTTTTATCTTTGCTTCAATTTATTTTTTTGTTTTTTCAGTTTATGTAACCGATTTAATAAAGGAATTTGGTTTACCGGAATTACCACCCGGCGTAGCAGCCGTACCAGGTATTTGTGACACCGGAATGTATAATTATCCACCAGCCTATCGAATAACAAAAGATGCCATTTTAACCGTGCAAACGGCCGAAGTTTTCCCCTATGGTTTCCCTACAGACTTTTCTATAGTTTTAGCTTTACGCAGTAATCGCACTAATCAGTTAAAAGCTCCAGTTTTTACTATTTATTCAGATGAAAGTGAGGAAATTTTGTCATTGGCAGTGGGTACTGAAATCACTTTAAGTTATGAACAAATTGATGCCAATTTTAAACAACGTAATAATATAAATTTCGGAATTGGTATCAATGATCATAGTTGGCATCGTCTTGGTGTTAGTGTTAAAGGTACAACGACCACTTTAAACTTAGATTGTACAAAGCAAATAACAAGACGAGTGCAACGTTCTTTTGGAAGTTCGATAGCAACCAACGGGCTTATATTGACTGGTGTACAGATGAGCAGTGATGATGGTTTTTTTACTGGTGATATCCAAATGATGGCCATTGTAAACACACCCGAGGCTGGTTTTGAAGTTTGCACTAAGTACGTACCCGAATGTTTGGAATCTTCTGAGACAACTACCAAATTTCCTACACCATCCAATCTTGCTTTAGGCAGAGAAACTGCTAATTCATCCCTCATAGGGATACCTCCTTACCAGCGTCATCAAGTCAATATTAGCAATTATCATTCGGAACCATACGATTTTAGCGTAGTTGGATATTTTCCTGATGAAAAAAGATATTTAACTGAAAGCGACGATAAAAATTTTACTGGTGAAACTGAAACCACACGTGTTGGTGGGGACGGTAGGACAGTTTCTTCGGAATTAACTTCTGTGGAATTAGTGACATCGGCTTGGGATTATGAAGATATCATACCTGGCTCTGTGACAGAAGAATCTGTGGGTAATGACTCATTTTTGGGCGATCCTGTTGACATTGGCATTAGTAGTAGCTCCCCCTGTTATCCTGGACCCCGTGGTTATACTGGTCTTCCAGGATCGCAGGGTGATCGCGGTCCAAAGGGTGACTCTGGTAGGGATGGTTTACCTGGAATGCCTGGCATTCAAGGATCACCAGGTCACGTTTTTGTGGTGCCGGTAATTTGTACTTAATGTCCTGTAGAAAGCTCTTTTCAACTCATTATTTTTACTAGACATCTCACGCTGGAAATGAGAAAGGTCCTGACACGCAGGCAGAGGCCTTGCGTCAAATGATATCTCAACACATGGTAGAGTCAACTTGTTGCTTTAGTTTAAACAATGTGTAATGATTATGTTTTAGATGGCCTTACGCGGATCTGAAGGTCCCATGGGTCTGACTGGTCCTTCCGGTCCAGTCGGTCTTACCGGTCCACAAGGAGAAAAAGGTGAGCCAGGTGATGCTGGCGAGCCAGTAAGTAATTGTGGTCTATTAAAAGTCAAATTATTCATCTAACCCATCAGAATATTTACTTGCTTCAGGGGTTGCGGGGATTAAGAGGTCAAGCTGGACCGCAAGGACGCGAGGGTCGTCGCGGTCGTTCTGGTCGGGATGGAGAACGTGGTGCTCAGGGCCCACAAGGGCCTAAAGGTGAGGTGGGACTAATGGGTCCCATTGGTATACCCGGCGAAAAAGGTCATCGCGGAGCTCCGGGCCAAAGAGGTGAGAAAGGACAGCAAGGAGTAGAAGGTCAACCAGGTGAGGAAGGTCCTGCTGGTCTACCCGGTCTCTCTGGTGAATTGGTACAATTATTAAAAGCCCTGTTGGAAGCATGTTTAAAAATATTTTTTTTTTGCAGGGTCCACGGGGTTTTCCTGGTCCGCGAGGCTTTCCAGGGTCTGCTGGAGCTCCTGGACCGCAAGGTACTGAAGGTCAGCCAGGAGCAAAAGGTAATTCCGGGCCTGTTGGACAGACGGGTCAGCCTGGACAAACAGGGCCTCCAGGAGCTATAGGTTCTCCAGGACCTCAAGGAAAATCTGGATTTCCCGGTATACCGGGGCCAAGTGGAAAGTCCGGTTTGCCTGGCTTGCCAGGAGCAGATGGTTCCCCTGGTATGCCTGGTTCACCGGGCGCAATGGGACCCAAAGGTGACCAGGGTTTGCAAGGTGTGCAAGGGTCGGTTGGCTTTCCTGGTTCTCGTGGAGCAAAGGGGGATGATGGTCCTCGTGGTTTATTAGGAGATAAAGGCGATACGGGAGAGCGTGGAGTAGACGGTGATAAAGGCGATAGGGGTTCTCCAGGGGAACGCGGCCCAGCAGGTGTCCCGGGACCGCCAGGGATAGAGGGGCCTGAGGGGCCAAAAGGATTTGAGGGTCCACGGGGAGAAATGGGTCCTCCAGGATCTCCTGGTGAAAAAGGAAAACAAGGTCTTCAAGGATTCCAAGGTTATCCGGGGCCTTCAGGTGATAAAGGTGATAAGGGAGATGCAGGCGCTACTGGTCCAGTCGGAGTAAAAGGTGAACGTGGACCGCAGGGAACCACTGGTGAAAGAGGCGAAATTGGCCCTAGAGGATTTAGAGGTTCGCGTGGTAAAAGAGGTAGTGATGGTAACCCTGGTCCAAAGGGAGATACTGGCCAACCAGGACCATCGGGACCACAAGGTGAAAGGGGTCCTCAGGGTGCGGAGGGTCCTAGGGGTTTTATTGGCATGCCAGGTGCACCAGGAGTTGATGGGAAATCAGGAGTTCAAGGACCTTCTGGAGAAAGAGGACAACCGGTATCTTTAAGAACTCTTTATAAGAACTACAAACGTGAATAACCAATTATTAATTTAGGGCGAATCAGGAAAACCGGGACCACCTGGCGAGCCAGGAGTGATTGGACCTCGCGGAGCTCCAGGAGAAATGGGTCCCATAGGTGAGCCTGGAATTCCTGGATTGCCCGGACAGCCGGGAGAAGCTGGAATACCGGGCGAGGCTGGGAAGGAAGGCCTACCAGGTCCTCCGGGACCAATGGGTGGTACTGGTTCTCAAGGTCCTACGGGGTTACCAGGATTTCCCGGCGAACGCGGCCATCAAGGTCAACCGGGCTTGCCAGGTTTTAAGGGTGAGCAAGGTTTGACCGGCGCTTCTGGTCCACCAGGGGATAAAGGTGCAATAGGAGAGCCTGGCTCCCCAGGTCTTCAGGGCGTGCAAGGTGGAACAGGCCCTCCAGGAAATGCAGGAGCATCAGGAGCTAAGGGCGAAACAGGTGAGAGAGGGTTAATAGGACCTGCTGGCAGAGATGGGGTTGCAGGAGTAAGAGGTTTGCCAGGTCCACCAGGACCAATTGGCACTCCTGGTGAAGATGGCGATAAAGGAGATGCAGGACTGCCGGGTGAGAAAGGCTTAAAAGGCAATCAAGGTGATATGGTAAGAGTTTTTGTAAATGCTTTAATGGGACTAAGATTATAATAAAAATTTACAACAAAGGGACCCTTGGGTTCCCCTGGTTCACAAGGCCCCAGAGGGGAAGCTGGTCCCCCAGGAGGACCAGGAGAAAGAGGCCCGCCTGGTGAACAGGGTCATAGAGGTATTAAGGGTGAAGACGGTGTTCCTGGCATGACCGGCTCGGCAGGAAAACTTGGATTGCAAGGCCTTCCTGGTCCAGCAGGCATAAAAGGTGAACGAGGTGATGAAGGAATGATGGGACCTGTAGGTCCATTAGGCCCACCAGGTGAACAAGGGCGAAGAGGAACAAAGGGTAAGGAGACGGCGAAATGCTGTGAAAAATAATGCTAATTGTTTGGTTTTTAGGATCTGCCGGTTTACCTGGAAAGCCGGGTCCACGCGGTTCTCCTGGTTTACCTGGAATTGATGGGCCACAAGGAGCTCAAGGTCCAATTGGTCCTCCTGGTATGCAGGGTGAGAAAGGGCCTCTGGGACCTAAAGGTGAAGAAGGAAAGTCCGGCCCTGAAGGATCGCCAGGAAAACAAGGCGTACAAGGCCCTGAAGGTCCTAAAGGAGACATTGGTCCAAGAGGGTTTCCCGGCTCGAAAGGCGACTATGGCTTAATGGGTCCTAAAGGAGAAGACGGTTTGGAGGGAGAAGAAGGAAAGCCGGGTCAGGCGGGACAACCAGGTGAACCAGGTCCACAGGGCACAGTAGGTGAGCCTGGTTCACCGGGGAAACAGGGACCTGAAGGACCGCCAGGACCCCAAGGTTCCATAGGATCAAATGGTGAAAAAGGTGACAAAGGAGATGTAGGACCAACTGGTCCAGATGGACTGAGTGGACCGCAAGGTCCGCCAGGCTTAACTGGTCCTCAAGGTGTAAGTGGCAAACCGGGACCCGTCGGGGAAACTGGGCTTCCAGGTCTAATGGGTGTTGAAGGCAGAGAAGGGCAGGTCGGTTTGCCAGGCATTGCTGGTCCAAAAGGTGACCGTGGACGTAGAGGGCAAAAAGGTCATCGTGGAGAACTTGGTATTGTAGGCCTTAAGGGAGAACAAGGAGAGAAAGGTGACCGCGGCCTAAGAGGAGTACAGGGAAGCGAGGGACCTAAAGGCGATCCCGGACCTATGGGTATGGAAGGACCTAAGGGAAATGAAGGACCTACAGGATTAGCGGGGCCAAATGGACCACCTGGTCCAAAGGGAACGGAAGGGAACACAGGAAATAAAGGAGAAATGGGACCTATTGGGCCGCCTGGACCCCCTGGAGCACCAGTTGAAGCTCCTCTCATACCACCTGAGTTATTGTTCCAAATGCAACAATATTCGTCAACTAAATCCCAAATTAGACGTAGGCGAGACGTCGACGCATCAATATCGATAGACGAAGACGAAGATGTAAATGAATTGATGGGGGCACTGCCCCCTCCAGAGCCTGTCGTTTCCACGGAAAAGAAGAGAGGCAAAAAAAAAAGAAGAAGAAAGTTCAACGGTAATGATTCGAATTCCAAAATTGCGAATGTATATAAAATCATTTACCGTATAAGTAAGGAGATGGATAAAATGCGCAAGCCTTCTGGAGTACAAGATAATCCTGCGCGAACATGCAGGGACTTGTTTTTTGCTCATCCTCAATTTAAAGATGATTGGTATTGGATTGACCCGAATGGTGGTATGTCGGATGATGCTATTTACGTTTTTTGTAATATGACGGCCAAAGGGGAGACTTGCATTTCTCCAGACACGCAGACAGCCGAACTTCCACTTGTGCCTTGGCGGAACGTCGGCGAAAAACGATGGTTTTCCAAACTGCAGGGGGGCTCTCAAATCACTTACGACGCTGTAGGCACAGTGCAATTGACATTCTTACGCATAATGTCAGAGAGAGCTTATCAAAATTTTACGTTTTATTGTCAAAACGTAATAGCTTGGCATGATCGTTCACGTGATAATTATGAAAAGTCGTTGAAATTTATGGCCGATAATGAAATGGAAATAACACATAACAGCTTAGAAGTTCAAAAGGAAATTGTTAAGGATGATTGTGAGGTAAGTATAAAAAAAATTCCAAGTGTTTTCATTAACAAATGTATGAACATTTCTTCATTACAGTTGGCATTTGCTAGTGGAATCACACAGCTTGAGTTCAAAACTAAACGCTTAAATTACTTACCTATTATCGATTTTTTCCCCAAGGATTATGGCAATGACGACCAAGCTTTCGGCTATAAAGTTGGGCCTGTGTGTTTTATATAATCTGACACTAGTTCTGCTAGACTCTTTGTATACCATTTTTAGTTAGACAATTTCTAGCTTTAAGCTATAATTAGATTTTCTATTTGACTGCCAGAAATTTTAAGTGAAAAATAGTTAGGAATAGTGTAGAAATTTACAAGCATTTATATTTTATGTAAAAACGTATTTATTTAATATGAAAGGATACGCAATTTATCAAATATATCGAGAAGTTTCTTTTTTTTTTGTGAAAAACTAAATAATTTATTTCTTTTAAAGTTTTAAACTAAACAATTATTAAAAAAAAATACATATTTCTTTACATTTGCTATTGTCAGAGATTTGTTTTCGCCATTGTTTTCTTTCTATTGCTTTGTACATCTTTACATTCATCGTAAAAGTGTATATAAAGTTTGTGATATGTTTGAAGTGTGGTTAGGAAATGCTATTAACAATATTCCTTGACAAGTATGAAGAACATAAAATGAAGAAATTTAGTTTTTTTTCATTTCTCTTCATCCGGTTAATCTAACAAGTTAGCTTAAGTCCATTGACACTTCTCCTTTATCCTCGTTTAATTAATAAACTTTTTCCTCTATCTTCTTACATAAATAACCTTCAATATGTTGTACGTCCAGCAGGTTATTCTTACGTTTTTATTATCCTTGAAAATCTGTAAAGCTCAAGCTATAAACTGAGATGATTACTTTCCTAACATATTATATTTGCAGTTCCACGCATTTATTTTTAAACGAGCCACTGCTAAGTGATAAAATATTCGACTTCATCTGAATATGATTTATTTCATATTTTTAAATCACTTTAATTTATGACCAATCATGGACGTTTTAGAAATGTGGAAAGCAGAAAAAAATTTTTTTTTCTTTTTTAAATTACATAAGGGAAAAGAGGTCAGCGTATTCTCCTCTTAGTCACCAAATACCTGTTGAAGTAAATAAAGATGTATAAATATATACATCCCTTTTTTTTTAAATGCAAATTTAATTGTAAAAGCATTCAATATCATATCATATGTTGTGTCTAGAAACAGACAAGTTCTAGTATATTCTTCAAAAATTTGAATTTTTATTATCGATTATTACAAACTGAATGACTAAGCTAGTAAACCCTTGTGCTTTACCAGTAGGTATAAAAAATTCTAAATTGTTATTTTTAATGCATTAAAATTCACGTTTTTATGCATAAATTCTATCTGTATTTATGTGACTGTGCATGCCTGGCATAATTAGAATATAAAACATTATAAATCCATTACAAATGCTTTGTAAACATTTCTTTTTTTTTTTTTCTTACAATTTGTGTCCCTTTGTTCGCTATTTTTAAGCCACTCTCTGAATTAATATACAGTTTATGAAAGCGTGCCGTTGGTAAAAAAAATAGCAGACTTTTTTTAACGTCTCTTAATTTAAATGCATTTTTTTTACGTCGCTTAATAAGTTTCTTCTTAGTAGGGATTAACAATGGAAAGAAATTTTCAAATATATCCTTATTTATGCTTTTTACCCGGAGGTTGTATACATTCTGTATAAGAAGAAATACTGAGATATGTTAAGGAAAAAAACAATTTTCTTTCTTTAAAAACCATTTAGAAAAAAATTTGAAAAAAAACATTTTTTTTAAAAACCATTTAGAAAAAAATTTCAAAAAAAATATTTTTTTCGGTCTTTTTTTTCGCAGAAAAATTGATTAGGACCTTTAGCTTACTTCTTGAATTTGCTTTTATTGCCCTAAAAATATTTATTTTAGATCCTCAACGTCCAATTTTTAACTTGATGGATAGGAGAAAAGCAGAGCTTTTTGCGCAAAATTTTGGAGCAATGTTAGATTGTACGTTTCCTGTGGAAAAAAGCAACTGCAACGTTATAAGCAGACTTGAAAGTCATGTTCAAATTTTGGATCAAGTATTAGGACAGCAGATTTAAAAACATCGAGTGACAATTTGCATATTAGCGTGTTCCGAAGAAATTTTGTTTGCACGGGCTTGAAAAATCATTAGTTTCCAATACTGTAAACACTGAACGTGTGTCAAATATCTCATCATTTTTGTTAGAAAAAAAATTTTTTTGTAAGATACGACTGATTGTCTGCTTCTTGAAATTGTAAGTAGGAATTCAAAACGTTTATTTAAAAAATTCAACGTGGTTTACAAATTTTACCTTCTATTGTGGTCAAATGAAGCGCGAAGATAATATAAATCAGAAACATAAAGATGTATTCCTTGATGGCCTGGGGCTACTTATACGCGCACATGCTATTAGTCGAGTGGTAAATGTCATGTGTGTACTTCGTCTCTGCATGTGTCACCTTCTGTTGGGTGCACTATTATTTCAATGGATTAAATTTTTTATTATTATTTATTATTATTTTAATTTTAGACTAATGAAATCAATTCTTAGACTAAAAAAAGACATTGAGCACTGGCAACACATGCTATCGGCTCTTAAATTTTCTAATCGTATGCCTAACGTGTAAATATTTTCAACCAGCGGCATTGAGTGGGCTGCTTACTATGATACGCTTGTTCGTGTAAATATTGATAGCAAAGTCAATATCAATTTCTAAATTTAGGTTAATAGTCTAGTAAAATCAAATTAAGTTCGTTTACAGATTAGTTAAGTTTTAGGTTTGCTTACGATTAACGACATTTTAATTTGGGGGATCCCTTCGACATGTTCTTCTAAGGTTGCTTGGCTGCATTAAATTTGTATGCGTCTGCTACGCCTTAAAGAAACATTGTTTTATACAAGACGCTTATTTCAACGTATTGGAAAAACATTTTTTATTAAAGAGGTCATCCATCGCTAGTTATTTTCTGTTTTCACAACTGGGAGCAATTTATTCGTTTAGTTACTTTTAATTCTATTCACAATCGCTGCAGCCTTGATCAGAAAGTGTGTGTGATTTCTGTGCGAAGAAGCAACATCCCCACCGTGTTTTTTCAATGTAATCATAATGGGCTTTAATTTTTGTGTTGTCCATTACCTTGAAGGAAGATTACATTATTACTCATAAGAGATCTCTCCATCTTTTTCTTTCAATGCGTCGTTCAAATTGATCATTTATTCAGAAGTAACAGTTTCACCAGGTTTTAGCCAGGTTTGGCTACTTTGAGATTTTTTCTTTCGTTACAACCCTCGAGGTTATAACAACTTCTTCGTTACTGTGGACGCGATTGCATGGACAACAGTTGCACACTCTAGTCACTCTAGCGGTGACGTTGCTGGCCAAAACGCAGCGTTCAATATTAATTTTTACGATTGGGATATTTTTTGCGGCTTTGATAACTTGACTAAAACGTTTCTTAGACATGAAAAAATTTATACTAAGTTACTCTTAATGGGATCTGCGACGCGTAATTCTTTATGCCTCTAGTATGTAGTTTTTAGTTTTTAAAAACGGATAACGAAAATTATTATAATCGTATCTTTCCGTCCCTTACAGAAAAAATTTTCTTCGTGTTTTTAAATAACTTTCTTTTTAAAGAACTATGGAACTTGCATGTTGATAATAAAAAACCCGGAAAAATATTATATTCGGACAAAAGTGCGGAATTAATATGCTACACCGCTCTGTCTAATAGAATTCTTCATACATTTTCGTTTATAGAATACCAAAAATTTTATCTCGTTTCCATGAAAACCCATACCTTTTATTGAAGCTGTATATGGCAGACTGTACAACGAACTGACATGATTTCAATTTAGCAAAATTGACTTTCTAGTCAAGAAACCTCATCGTTCTTGATCAATTTTTGTCATATAAAGTTTCTCTTTTTTTAAGAAGCCTTACCTGAAATGAGGTTGAGTTATGAGGTAAACATAATATTAAGAATTTGATTTCTTTGCCACATGAAAGCTTACTCGTGCCGGATTACCGTTACTCGATGATTTTTGTTGAGAAATTTTTGGAATTTCCATTTTTTTTCCATATATATAACGTTGTATATAGAGCGCTCCCATGCAATCCTTTTTTAATTTCGTCAATCTTGCTCAAAAATTTCGACGAGTGGGTTCCATAGATCAATAGACGTGCATAAACCTATTAAACAAGTGGGTCTGAATCCACTTAAGCAGTTACAGGATTTAGTGTATCCAGTGTCGCAAATCATTTAGACTAGGTAGAATAACTCGTTTTAGGCTCAAGTGCTACTACCTCTGTTTTTTTATAAATATATGACCGATATAATAAATATAATTATTTATGGTGAATAGTAGTTATTGATAAAAAAATGCTACAAATTTCTTTCTTTTTATCCTGATTTGCTTGTTTAGCTGGTCCCTGGGAGAATCTTGGGTAGATCATGATTATCATTAAATTTGTTTCGAAGAATTCACATATTGTCTACGAAATTTTGTCTTTTTAATTTTCTTAGGCCGCGAAGATGCGCGAATAAAGGGTGGGGCAAATCTACGCCCATTGACATTTAAACTGATGATTACGCATGATTTAAAATATTCATAATTAGCGAGATGTCGAGTGTAAATTAAACTTGGTATCCAGAAAAATTATAGTTGATTTCAGATTACGTTATAATTGTTCTAGGTTAAGTTGTTCACTGTCGTTGTATTTAAGTATTGTCATTATTTTATATATCTATAGTTTGTGTGGACGTATATTCTCACTTTGCAAATTGTGTACAAATTTTAAGCACACATGCTTATACATTGGTTTAATGCATATAAATTTTTATATATATATATGTATAAATATACATATGTATGTATATGTATGTAAAAGTCAATCACATAAGGACATACCAAAAAATCATAAAGTTAAAAAACAGCTGATTTCTTCAATGACTTTCAGAGACGAAGTAAAATGCGCAAATAATAGCGTGAGAGAGAGAAAGAGAGAAACAGAGGGAGAGTGTGATAAATTCACCACATGTTATCGCGCATGTCAGATTCATTTACATTAAGTTTAAGGGTGTTTGCAATTTAAGAGTTCTCTCAGTAGTAGGTGGAGTTACGAAATCTAAATTGTCTATGAATTGGTAAATAAATGTCTATATACCGACACGAGTGTTTTTCTGCGGAGCAAAGAGGTTTATACACAACATTAAGAACCATAATAAAAAAAGCGACTTTTTGATGGCACAAATTCGCTTAACTTTATGTATTGTGAGAGCAGTCTGCGAAGAGTTATTTAATGAGAAGGTTGAGTTAACACCAACAGGAGAAAAAGTTGGCTTTTTGTTAACGTTATCGTTGTGTATGTATGCGAATAACTGGTAATATGACTTTGTGCATCCTTACTGGTTAATATAACCACAGCTACAATGTTTTATAGCATCAACGTTAGAAGACATTCTTGAATATGAGTACAGATGAGAATATATATACGATTGAGTGGGTTGTCTTTTTGGGGTGTTGAACGTAATAACATACTGGTACTTAGGTGATTCCTTACATGTGTAAAAATAGTTTCACTAAGTTAGATATGCCTTGCACGCCACGAAAAAGATTTTTTCCTAGTTTCGATTCATGTTATAAAGGGGCAGTTAATATTAACAAAAGAAAAAATTATTGATCAATACAAATTATCTGATTTTAATCATGTTAGATCATAGTGTATAGGTATGAGATTATTTTCATTGTAAGATATATAAGCTTGGAAGATATGTGCGCCTGTTCACTTCTCTTTGTAAATTGAATGAATGCAAAGAGTTTTAAAGTTATCTTAGCTATATATTCAAATCATCCTGGTTTGATCGACAAATTAAAAATAATTGATCGTCACGCTTGTCTCAGATGAGCCTAAACAAGCGTATCTTTCTTATACATACTATATACCGCACTGTTAAAAAAGTTTGAATGAAAAATTCTCTAGCTTTTGAATAGTACGTCATTGTTTTTATTTGATGTCCGACTTCATTTTGTTGACCTTTTAAGAATTTTGAACGGGACCTCGCACATTTTTAAGTATTAAAACGAACTTCGTACATTTCTGAAAGAAGAAATTTTTGTAAAAAGACTCTGTACGAGGGTAAACTGCTTAACCAATACATTAAATGTGAGACACGTAAAGTCATTTCGTTTGCGCTTCAGCAAACACTAGCCAATAAATCAACCCTTATAAACGTCGAGAATTCACCACCTGATACATATATGTACCTTTATGTACTTGTATATAAAACGTTTATATGCAGAGGTAAATACATAGATTTATTATAATCCTGTGTTATTTTGACTTTGCGTGCATGTATATGTTTCTTTACTTTTTTTAGCAGAAAACCTGTGGCACGGTAAGTTAATTGAAACACGCCTCTACAGTGGTGTTGTAAGGATAATTAATGTTTTTTTTTTTTAAACTCTTATGTTGTTAAGGGGGCTTAGTACGAAAATATCGGCTAGTTTTCATAAATAAATTTGCTTGATCAACATGCGATTCTAGGTCACCTCCTCTGCTTATACATCCGTGCTTTCATTTACTGACATGTCCATTTGTCCCTTATTTCATTTCATAGTCATAGCCGTCGATCCATTCGTACCTCTGTCATCCTTCTGTTCATATTCATTGTTCAATCGTTTTTCGTCACATCGACGCATTCGCCCGAACATCTTTCTGTTTATCAATGTATTCATCTGCTTGTTTAAACGTTGATCAATCCCCGTAAATTTTTTCATTCGTTTCTTAGTGCATTGTCCTTCGATCATTCATCCATCGCCACAAATGGAAGGCCGTTCATCTGCTGCCAGTCCCTTCGGTCATCTGTACGTCATTTACCTGTCTACTCTTTTCATTGCCTATCGGTGATAGCGTTCCTTTTTACTCGTTAGCCCCTATTTCAATCATTTAAATATCAGTTAGTCCATTCATTTGTTCTTCAAATCACTTGTTCGTTTATCGATCTGTCGCCCGATTGATCTTCCCTATATATATGTTCATGCTATTCTATATACTTGTTCTTTGTATTGTTTATTCATACATTTGGAATAGATATTAACAAAATAGGCAAAACCATTTTGAAATGTTTGGATTTCGATAAACAAAGTAATTTCTTATTGATCCGAAAACAAAAATTTTTAGACTTTTTATTGTATGTATATTTCTACAAACACAGTAATTCCCTTCAAGTCTGTTAAGTGAAACGCCTACGAAGACATTTTCGTGAAACTTCTTATTATTATTTTATATAAAGACAAGCCTTCCGGTATGGCCCTTGCAACGCACTCCTATTCGTATTTCTACATACTGATCGCCAGCTAATATAAGTTTGCACTACTCGGCCATCCTTAATAAATGAAAAAATAAAATGTCTCGCACAAATATCCATATTCCATAGCGACAGTGTGTACTGTCCCTCAAAGGAGAAAAATTTTTTCTTAAAGAAGCCTTATGAGAATGACCTTGGTGATGCCATTCCGTAGTACATATAAAAATTAATTCAATTTTTTAGTACGCTTACTAACGTTCTCGAATATTATTTTTTATTTTTCATCCAACGAAGAAAAGAGAGAAAATTATGGTTCTTTAGGTCTACGTCTTTTAAAGAGGTTCCTAAAGCATTGTGCGCACTAATTGCATGAATTAAAAGAATTCTATATATTTCATCTTGAAAACAGTTTACATATTTTCAAAACTTTTCTGGAAAATTTTTTTATATTTTTATATGTAGGTATGTATGTAGAGAGATTTTCTTCAAAAATTTTAATAAAAAAAAAAAATAACTTCTTTTCTACATATTTTTACATAATTATTATTATTATAATATTTTGTTTTTTTTTTCGCAACCCGCTCCTGTCTATTGACTTTGCAGCTGGTAATCCAGCTTGCTTGCAAGCAGCAAAATACTGATGACTCGTGATAAAAAAAAAAAAAAATGCAAAATTAAAAGTCTTTGGCTTATTTACCAAAAAACAGTAAATCATTTTCCTATACGCATACATATATATATATATTTACATACATATGTTCATAAGCATACAAATACGTGCACATATATCAACGTTAAACTTATAGCCTTTTATCATTCTTGACATTCTTTGTGGTGAATTTCTGGTGGCGTATGAGTTGTGTTGAATTCAGTGTCCCACATAACTTATGATATATATATATATGTCAGTTACAGTGTATGAACCATGGGAAGTTACATTTGTTGTAATCATCATAGATTTTACGCCAGTGAATGTTGTAATGCATTGTAGAGAAGAAAAATACGGGGCGTTTTCCGGTTGGTTGGTTGGCCCATGCATATATACGTCTAAAAAAAAAAAAAAAAAAAAAATTCGTTTTAGTTACTTGGCAATGAAAGGCATTTTAGAAAGAGAAGCAGTCCTTTGTTAAATGGTGGTAATAACACAGTGAACTTCACTCTTCTTGGAAGCTTACATGAACATAGACATGTATATATGTATGGCTGTGTCAAACACATACACATATACACATGGATTCATACCGATGCACACATTCATACGGCCTGTAAAACATAAGGCAACATTTTTGTGGCTTTTTCGCAGTTGTCGACTTTTTTGTTTATTTTTGTTTTTCCGATTTGCTGCAATGTGTTCAAAGTATTATTGGTAACTTCTCGCTACATACCCCAATTAGGGTTGCAGTGGTGAGTTATGCAGCTAAAAGAAACGAATATACGGGAGTATACAGAAGAAGATGCCTTGACGTCCATCTGTGTTTTTAATTGTTTAGAGTGTGGGTTTGGCTTTAGGTTTTCATTTTTACTTATATATATTTTTTTCCTTTTTTTTTTTTTCTTTTGTGATTTGCTTTGTTTTTGTTGTTGTACCCTGCTGTCAAATAGTCGTTTGACGTTTCCTATATATATATATATATATATATATGTATATATACATTTGCAGTTTATTGCCACGTACGTACAACTAGTAAGCAAGTAGTAAGCAAAAGGATACTCGAGCTTTCACATACATTTGATAATAGTCTTTTCCGCTTAACAGTTAATCAAAAACCGTAATACTAGCATTACAAATTTTCGCTTGCATCCGGTTAGTAGTGAACGTGCAAATAAAATGAATAGAAATAGAAAATTATTAAAGAATTATAGAATTAACTTTAGAATGAGTTAAAAAGTTGCATATATTATATTAAAAAGACTATAACATACAAAATAAAAAAATAAAAAAACTAAATATTGAAAAATTGATAAATTTGTAAAAGTAGTGAATAATTGTCGACATATATTGAAAGAAAAAATTTAAAGCATCCTGGATACCATAACTTTTAAATATTTCCATCAACGCAAGATGGGAACAAGCAGTGGTGTGTATAGCATTTTTAAAATGTTTTTAATTTTCAATGAAATGAAACAATACCGACGGCTCTACAAAATGATCGACTTTAAAGAGAATTGAACGGATATTAAAAATTGAATAAAATAGCCCACGGTTTATATAGTTTCCTTTTTTAAAAGAGAATGTAGCCTAAAAAGTCAATGTTCCTATATGTTGCTGAGGCGAGCATTGGATATGCAATACGACAAAGAATTCTGGTTACTTAAGACTGGGTTAATGATTTTATTAGCATCATTTTCTCCACGAATATGACGTTTCTGATGAAAAAGCGAAATTAAACGTCTCTTGACCCAATTTTTATCTCAAGTCGAAATTTACTATAGTTTGTGTTGATGTGTGAAACGCCGGATACTTGCACTGCTACTTATAGAATTTTGTTTCTAAGTGAAAATAAAACCGGCCCTGGCAAAAATAGGGAACAATTTACGTAGAGTCTGTAAAGACGTATCTAAGTGCTTTAAAACAATGGCGTCATGTTTTCATAGCATTCAGTTTGTCAAAAAGCTTATCACATCAAGGAAGAATCTTCACACGGCTTACAAATTATACATTGAATTCAGAAACGATTTAAGTATATCCGTCTGTCCGTCCATCGATCACGGAGGAGATTTGCCGACAAGTGCGGCAAAAGCATTGGAGGTTTTTGAATGCCGGTTGGCATCAAAAATGGGCCAAAGTATGTACCCGCTATTCAACGCAAACTTCGAAGAATTCTACTTTAAAAAAGGAAAGGTTTTTGCTCATTACTCGTAAATTACAATAACAATTTGCCGTTTCTATTCTAAGATTAAGATGATTGGTGTAAAAGATTTAATTACAAAGGAATACAATTTTCTTAGCCTACTCTATAGTAAGCGCGTCAACTGTTCTCAGCTTTAGTTTAATTGCTTTGATGATTCTATGGCGAATTCGAAATATTGCACGAGCGATCTGTCTATATGTGCTCTATTGAGAGTTTAAAGGTTTCTACATTTCGAAAAAAGGTTTATTCGATTTTTGGAATAGTATCCTTGATACGTTTATGGTTCAAAAAAAATGCGTATAGATTAACATTACAAACATATTTGCTTGTCACGGAAGTCAAACCCCAGTGAAAACAAAAGTTATTGTTGACGATTACTAAATTCCATCCATTAGTCATACAGCCTTCACTATCCTTTACGTATATTCGCAAAAGAATTACATTATCTTGCTTTATAAAGCATTACTTTTTAGGTGAATCTTTATAAAATCGTGGGAGGGTGCGGTGGAGAGAATTTTATTGGAAGATTTTTCGAATTTTCTCGAGGAATGTTAAACAATGAAAATTTTTGCTTACTACGTATTGCTTCAACGTAAGAGGTTTCATGCGGAGTAAACGTTAAAATGTTGCGGCGACAGACTTGACTAAATCGTAAATCGATTGGTATAAAAAAAGTTTGCTCAAAGACTTCTGAGTGTCGCAAACATCCTCATGAACTTATCCCTGGGGTATAATTTAAAAAAGCCGGTGAATGAATCGTGACGGACTGTCTTTAATAGAACGACTTTTCTAAACAGGAACAAAAAGACTCACTAAAGTGATTAAATAACTAACGAACGACACTAAAATCGAACTAAATTGTGAAACATGTTGTTCTTAAACTTCAATTGAACTTCTCCATACACACATCGTAGTAATATGAAAATAAATTATTGAAATTTGATATACTACGTACGCATCAGTCAATTATTCTCGAGATTGGCTCATAGATGAAGGCTCTAATAAAAAACCTGCATCATTTTTAGAAGGCGTCAACCATCAAATGGATCGTCTCAAAATTTCATTTCTCTTTGATCATTTGTTTAATAGTTGCAATGGTCTTGGTTACATTACTTTTGTTCTTTTAAGAGCAATGAGAAAACCAAATTTTTTGCGTTGATTAAATGTCGGACGATGCTGAACGTAGTAGACGTTCGAAATAGACGGTTACATATCAGAACATAAAAAAATTGAAAACTGATGTTGCAAGCGATAGTTGATATTCTAGAGATATTCGTTTTTTTGAATTGGATTGTCTATTCATAGTTGATCACAAGCATGGTATGACAGGTTAGTTCAACAGCAAAATTGCATGAACTAAAGTTTGAATTGTTTCCTCTTTCAGCATATTCGCCTGCTCTTTCAACGGCCATTGTCTGTTTGCAATCCCAAACCGATGCTCTTCGAAAATGATTTGATTCAAATGACAGGGTCTTTGTGGAAACATGTGAAGGCATATCTAGTTGCGCGAATATTGACTAATTTCTAAAGTATTTAACTAAATTGTACAGAGCACGTAGATAGGGATAACTGATAATGTAAGCGAATCCTCAAAAGAATACTGAAAATTTCTACATATATTCTTGTCGGATACCTATTTGAACTTTTGCATAAATGTTTATCGAGATCGTACAAAACGATGGAGTGAACACGGCGTCCATCGTAACGAGTATATGCTTGTCATTGCCAAATAATTAATTGATTTTTTACGTTTTTAGCTTCGATTGTAAATAGTTAAATATTTTTTGATGTGAAGAGTGACCTCTCTGGCAACGGGCCTTTGACAATGGGCCTTTTGACATGATTTTTTCAGAATGGAAGGATAGGAATATTTAAGAAGGTTATTAAGCATATATGTATGCATTAAACATATAAGAAAACTATATTCGTTTGGGGCCGAATTTCGTGTACCCGCCACAATTAAAATGTTTGGTGATACTTGTTTTTTTTTTATTTAATAAAGTAAATTAAAGCAAGTATTCGAAAAATGTGCTAAAAACGATCAAATGATTGCTAGAGATTTTCTTCATTTAAGAAAAGTTTTGAAGGTATAGCACGATATATTATCCGAGGCATAGGAGGCCTCTTGAAATATGCGCAAAAAAATGAGAAAATTGTAAATTCAGAAGGCTGTGCATATTTAAATGCACTCTTCTCTAGATCTTGCGCACATATTCAAGTCTAAAGAAGTTGCCATAAAAATATGAAACAGTAAAAGTCAACACATCTTATGTCCCATAGCTTTAAAATGGTAACAGCAGCAACAAATTTTTCTAATGCCTATCGGCATTTGGGGTGGGGTTTTTGGATGTCTTCAAAGATATCGATCTGCACATTCACAGTTACGTTACTATTTGTTTTTTTTTTTTTTTCTCAAGGATTAAACTCTATATTAATCAGTACTTGCAGCCGGTTTTTTTTCAAATTCGGGAAATTTCGTTAACCTATCTATGACAACTAGAATTGCTAATTGCTAAACAAGAAAGTTTCAACTGCGAAGGTTTTCTTCTTTTTTTTTTTTTAGGGACAATCGGTAGTAATTTTTATTCTTTAGCAGCAAATATAATTGAAAATCGTTCCTTTATGACGGCTTAACTCTGCTCGCTCTTTCTCATTTTTCCAGGTCCAATGCTCAAGGACAATGAAGACCAAAAATGTTACCATGTTTATCAATGACTAAGCTAGTGCTCCTCCCTTTTGAAACCTTCATTACCTTTTGCTTAATCCAGCCGACTTTTGTTTAAAACTAGTTGTGATATCTGATATCTGACTAGACATATTTTATAATCGTAGCCAAAATATTACATTTTGTTCACCAATTACAATGAATGGTATAACATTCATGGATAGTATAGAGCAAAATTTTGACTTGAGATGTCGTGAATTCTATTGCATTCAAAAATAGAATTGTTTATAGTTTTACTGCATGCTTTAATCAAAACTAGATCTTCATTAGTCAATAATTACAAAAATTAAAAAGATATTGTTTTTAAGACTCCATATCGGGAGAAACGGAGTTCTTGTTATGCGCAAGAGGTAAATGCTATTTTCAGAGACACTACGCGGGATATCATGGAGGCTTGTAATGTCCTGATATCGGTATGATGTGCATTCGATTATTTCCTGCTTATAGTAGGGAATAGGTTTTGCGCGGACTATTTCAAGGCGACGGCATTTTTTCTTGATAGACTTCATTTTCATTGAATTCTTTTTAAAAACCTTATTATTATTATTGTTATTTATTTATGTATTCTACTTATACAAGAAAATTCAACTTAAACAAATTAGCAGTCGAGTTCAATTGACTCTGAAAGCAAATCTTAAATTAATTAATATTAAAACTTAGTATAAGTATAATAAGAAGGAAAAAAAAGAAAAACAAAAGAAAAAAGTATATAAACAACTAGAGCCACACCCATAATCGGTACAGGACCAAATTGCAAATGAACCCCTAAGCCATCGCAAACATGTATAAGCTTGGCAACCGATAATATTTAACAACAAATAATTTGCGACCCATCGTGACTTTTTGAGGTTAAAAGCTAGCTACGACATAGGTAAATTACGCGCATTAAGCAATGTTGCTTTAATGGACTTTACTGAGTCCCATAATTGATTTAGGCAGCGAAGTAAATTCTAAGGCTAAGGTCTTAAAGCACTGGCATCTAAAGCCTAAAAGGCTTTATTGACAATCCTACCGTACCTGAGATTTGAACCCATGATCTTTGATTTGTTTGTCAAGATCCTTTGCTTACTCGACTGCTCAGGCGGGAATTAAAAACAAAAAAAATAATTGATATTAGATTGTCTCTAAAGCCAAGAGAGCCCGTATCTGAATCTCTTATCTTCTTATAAATGTTATAAGAATTCCACGTTAGAACATTATGATATCGAATAGCACCTTTTGAATCGAACGGGTGTAGGGTGATTATCTCCACATTTGGCCCGTTCGACTTTCGACACTTCGACTTTCCATATCATTTATTAAGTAAAATTTTAATTAAAAAGTCTTAAACACACAGAAAGGAAATAAAATAAATAATAGAAAATAATCAATCAGTGGGTCATTACTTTGAAATGTGCAGTACGCTAATAAAGTCTACATACGGTGGGAAAAGTTAAGGTAAAAAATATACTTTAATTCTAAAAAATAATAATCAATAACAATAATAATGTAATAATCAATAAAAATAATAATAATCAATCCCAATTCGCCCAAGTGTAGGCAAAGTATATCGACTAACAACTCAATTGCCGCGGGTTCAAATCTGAAGTGCGGTAGGGTTTTCAATAAAGCCGATAGCCTTAGAATTTGGTGCTTTAAGATCTTAGTCTTAAAATTTATTTTGTATTTGGCCAAATTGACATTAATAATAATAATTATTAGAATTAAAAACTTTATAAAATTAAATAAAAAACAATTCGACATAAAATTTGAATGCTGTAGCATTGACGTCCGCGAACGTCACGACACGGTCCCGGACGCGGTCTTATGTAGTTCACAATTTTCCTATGTATCTGTTGTTAGCGTAAGCGGCCCCGCCAATTACATCTTACGCTCATGACGTAGTTTATAATTAAAAAAAAATTCATTTTAAAAATTTCATCGTTTCTTTCCCCTAACCATTTTAAATCGAAATGTGATTTTCAAAAATTTCTCACAGGAAATTTTTCGTATTTTTAAGTACAACTTGTGGGATTGCACTATGCCATACGACGTAATGAAAACATTTAAATATTGAAAAAATCAAAATTTTTAAAAACCAAATATTATTTTATCATCAAAAAATCACAGAAAATGATCTTTGAGTTTGTATCAACGCATACGAGTACATTAAAATTTCCAAATTTATTTTCAAATTTATTTAAACATAAAAAAAAAAGCACAAAAACAACCTAAGAATAACAACAAACTAAAAGTTATTCTTATACTTGAAACTCTTATACAAATAATAACAAGCTTGACAATAAGCTCGATGACGAGAAGGAATAATGACGACAAGCTACCTTTCATTGTACTTTTCACATTTTTTGTTTGGGTTAACTAACCAGTTAAACCGAGTTAAAGGGGAAAATGGCACGTACTGATGTGACAAAAAAAAAAAAAAAAAAAAAAATGAAAAGCAAAAGAAAGGAAAACCAGCCAACCACCACCATGACTGATGCCATTACCATCGACCTTAATAAATATCAACAACACTTTTGTAGATAATTAAATATATACACACAGCCAACCGTACTTGTGAGCTAAAGTGTTAAGAGGGTTACCGAATGAAAGGCACACGCCATGCGTTATGCTTTAAGTAGACACTGGAGGTCAAAGGATCAGTCAGAAAAACAATATGTCAATTATCAGAAAATATCTATTTGCGGACATTCTCGTATATTTTCTCGTACTTGTTTTTATTGCATATCTTTGCTATAGCGCAGATTATGTTTTTATTTTGACAAGGGCCAGAGCAGTTGTCGGTATTGTATTTATTAAGGATTTTACACTCTTTTAAGTGATTTTATAACAACAGAGATTAAATGCCATTAAACTCTATTTAAAGTGCAAGCATTGTTAGAGTGTCTTAACGACTATCTTTTCATTAAGTTCGTTTAATATATTAATCTTCAAGGTGATCGCCTGCTGGACATACCATGTAAAGTATGCGGAGATCGTAGTTCCGGTAAACATTATGGCATCTACAGTTGTGATGGTAAGTTCAAATAAAACGAGAGAGAAAAAAATATTTTTTTTCTAAATTTTAATTCATTTTTCATAATTGTATACATGACAAGGATCTTTAGATTTGTGTATTGTAACTAAAGAGTAATCAACGTATCAACGTAGTTATTTTGGTTATGAAAACCCGATCGACATTATGTAGTCTTGTTCGCAACTGTTTTAAATTTATGACTGCCATCTCTCTCTGCACTGATCACTCACGTCAAGTTGAATCAAAAAGTCAAATAAAGTGCTCAAAGAGTTCCTTAAATTTTTCTTCCTGCAGAACTATAAAATTTTGTGTATACATGGATCTTATTTCTTTTTTTAAAAAAATAAGAAGCGCTACCTGGAAAGCTACTATAAGAGTGACTCTACGATCATTAAAACACGTAAATGAAAATAGGATCAAGAAATAATTATATAATATCGTGGTTGCGAAATTGCAAAATATATTCTCAAACATTGTATATGCGTGTCCGCTCGAAGCTTTTTCAGAAAAAAAATATTTTTTTTATTATTGATACCGGAAACAAATTCATTACCAGCAAAAAATTTGTTGCTTGATAATTTCGAGGTCTTTCCCGAGCACTACAACAAGAACATCTATGTCAAATAAATGTTTGCTAGGAAGTTGTAGCTCAATGTCTTGCCTATCGGTTTTTACTTCCTGTAAAGCTCTAAGGGAAAGTATTTATGTTTATATGTATATATTAGTTTTATGTATGGTTTGATCAAGACAATCTTTGCTGGGACCGTTTCCAAAGATTGCAAGCATTGCTTCCACCAAGATATAAAAGATTTTGGATGAACAATTAGGAATTTGTTATGAATTTGGCTACAGAATTATATATTTTTTTGTCGCTTTCTAATCATTCGGCCACATGGCGGTTTTCTCTTTCACAGAAGCAACAAACGATGCATTTTCGTGCGAATAATCGTCAAGAAAGAGGATGTTTCAACATCAAAGGTCATTTTTATGGCGCTGGGAATACAAAATAAATATTATTGTGATCAAAATGAATGACGACAGTCCATGTGAAAACATTAAGAAAGCAGGTGTTTAGAACCGCCTAAAGATTGAGTAAACATCAAACAGAAATCATGTAACTGGTCCATCAAAGGTGACTGCCGAGGGACATTTAGAAATATTTTTTGGCGATATACATAGATGTGGGTTAGAGAGTTGGGATGCAGGGTTTGCATTCGAAATTCGTATTTGGGTGTCAGCATGTGCTCTTTGGTATTCGAGTAAAGAACTCGGCGATCAAACTTCGAGTTGAGATTCTGGAATACAGGACTTGGATTGTAGAATATGGGCTTCAGGATTCGAGACTTGAATTTGAATCCGCGTTCGGAAGAATTGAGGATGCAGGTTTCCCGATTTAGGATTCCGAGTCACTATTCCAGATTAGGAATTTGCCAGATAAACGCTTACTATTCGGAAACTATAAGAAGGGGTTTAATAATTTCAAGTTATTATTACTCAGCGATTTTTGTCGAAATTGTAGCTCCAATCATATCGATAAATACTTCGTCTTACGTCTAACCTGTTAGAAGACAATTTAGGACTGCACAGGAATTGAACACTTTCTTAGAAATCCATGAATCAGAGACTGCTTTTGGAAAGAGTTGATATACAGCGCGATCATCTTTCGCTCTGGTTATAATTTTGACTTCATTATCCCATTCCTCATGAAAAGAGTTTTCGGCAACCGATACTGAAAGAGCTCTCCACCATCGATTGCTTCCTTGGCTAGACGGCCAGATTTTTCGTTTAGTGAAAAGGCGCAATGGCAAGATGCAGTTCCGTTACTGGGGAAAATTCAATGCATCTTAAGATGTTAACAGCGTACAATTTATGTTCTTCCTTTGTAGAGAGTATTCGGCGAGCACATTTCTTTCTGACCAGAAGCCTTCTCATGATACGATTCGCTCGGTCCTTCTCGGTTCGATTAGATTTAAGGAAATCTCTTTGAATCGATCAATAGAATGAAACGTGTGCCTATTTCAAGTCCTTTCGCTTGCCATACATCCCAGCACAAATTCGTACACTATACCACAAGTGTTGTAGAATATATTGATTCGAAACATGCACACTTCATGTATTGAATGCATTTTCCCCTTATTAAGCACGCCAATAAGATGGGCGGTAAAACTTTCTGCCCCTGTTAGTCATTCTTGTTAATTATCGAATTAATTAAAAGTATCGCTGATAACAAGTTTTGCATATTAAAACAGTTTTCATATTTTACTTATTTATTTTTTTTCTAACTCTTTTTATATCACCTTTGTCTTTTTCTCGGTGTGATGTGCTATGACTTCAAAAAGGATGCTCGGGTTTCTTTAAACGGAGTATACATCGTAATCGTATATATACCTGTAAAGCCACAGGCGATTTAAAAGGTCGCTGTCCCGTTGATAAAACTCATCGCAACCAATGTAGAGCGTGTCGTTTGGCAAAATGTTTTCAGTCGGCTATGAATAAAGATGGTAAGTGTAGAAAATAGCCTAAATGAGTAGATTATGTATTAAATTTGTTTATTCTAATTTGGGATGAAGTTGGAAAAACCACATTTATAGTGAATTAATTATAGAAATAAACAGTCGTTTTAACGAGTAATTTACGTTACATTTACAAAAATTGCAGTGGGATGTTAAACAGTTTTTGGACAACGCCTCTTAAGTTAGCTTGAGGTGAAAAGATAAGAATAATTAAAAAATATTCTTTACCTGGTATATGCAAACGATTTTTAATTGCTTTCAAAAGTATATTTGATTTTTGACTAATCTATCGTTTTAAATAAAGATTTTAATTTTAATATATTTTATATTTAATATATATAGACGAGAGAGCGAGAAAGTCCAACTTCGGTAACCTTTTACGGCGTTATTTACAAATTGTTATCATTGTCCATATAAAAAGCAATTTCCCGGTTGCATGGCAGTACTTCACAGTAGTAAACGGATAATGTATGTAATCCTCGATTAGTGTTAGAAAGTTTGCTGCGCTTTATCACATGCGATACACATCCCTCTCCAGTCTTCATCCAAATTTGGTTCTCTTTGGAAAAAAAAGCGAAGAAAAATTGTTACAATTTTTTCATGACATTTGTAAATGTGTTGAGTTTCTCACGTTTCTGACAGTATTAAATAAATGCACTTCCTCTTGTGCCTGATCTTACGTTTCGTATGTTTCGAACATCTGTTTGCACATATATTTTCTTTCTATGATATGCCTTGGCTTTGTGTATATTTTATCGACTATTATTTGCTGTTTATTCGCTTTTATTATTTTCGTTTTTGTTTTTAACGTAAAAGGATATTATTGCTGCCATTGCTGTTGTTTTTGTTGTTGTTGTTGTTGTTGTTGTAATGAATTGAACCTAATCGCTTTTGTGTCTTTATGCTACATTTAATATTGGCTTAAAAGCTTTAAAGTTAGCCTTTGGTATAATGCATGTTAAAAAATTGTTCTCTCTTTTGATTATTTTTTAAATGTTTGAACGGTTTCGGGGATGATTGTGAATTCTAGTTTATAATTCAATGCAAAGAGCAAAAAGGTAACGGGAGAGAATATGTTCTTTTAAGATGTTTTCCTTTTTCAATTATAATACAAAGATGATGATGGTGATGATGAGACGAAAAGAGAGGTTCCGAGGATAAATAAGACGCTAAATCGTCTTTATTTATTAATACGCCTGCTAACCTTATAAGAGAAGTTAAACGAAGGCGTTTTACAGCTTTACAATCGTTCAGGGTTAACCTTCAAATACCCTACACGAATGCAAAATCAAACCTTGATGTCTTTCAATTCGTACCAGCCTCTATATGGAAAGGAACAGCTATGAAATTCTGCGTTCATTTAGCTTGTCCAAAGTATTTCTATTCAACAATTTTGTTTCAATAATTTATTGTGGGAATTCAGATGGGAAGCGGTCGTAAAAGTGATCCAATTCAACCTATTTTCAATAGCATTCCTCGTTGGATTAAAACATGTCATTATCTGCTCTTTCATGAAAATAACTCGAAAATACAACTTTCGGATTGACACGGAAAATACATGGACACACCTCACACATACACATACAGGTAACTCTGATATATAACGAGTTTTAATCGGCAATTGGCATAGTAAAGGGCATATCTGTACAAAGCTAAGCTGAGTGGTGAATACATCCATCCGCATAGACGTAATATATCCTTACTCCTTCGAAACATATATAATAAGTGGTTATAAATTGTGAAATATAACGCGTTATTTGTGAGGAGTGTAAACGAAAAAAGAAAGATGGAAGAATCGGGGCGTATACGTTTAATCAAATCTAAGCAAGGGAATCTTCTTTAGAGTATACATAATCACGGACACGATCGACAAACAAAAACCAAAATCCTCTAAATAAAATAAAACAACATAAATGTCTTTCATTTTCTACTTTCTTTAGAAAACTAATTAAAAAACTGTTAAGCTGATTTTATTAAATTCACGAATTGAACCTAAAGAGAGTCAAAGCTTTTTTTATACGGCGGGAGAATATTAGGTATTTTGTTTCGGAGCCATCCGTAGATAAATTAATGTCACTGTTCGTATTAATAGCGACCTTTAAAGGGCAACGGATTTTTCTATTTTTATTAATTTTTTAAAAATTTAAAATATTCATTTTAAAATTTAGGGAACGTATTTTGCGAAAGAAGCCCTAGAAATACAGATTGTATTTAGTGTAGTTACAGATTGTTGGTTTTTGACAAGAACTTCCCAAAAGGCCAAAACTATCAATTTAGTATCGATTAAAAAGCGATCAATGAAGAGTTTTCTCGATTCTTCTTTCTCAAGATGTGCTACAATAAAACAGTTTCTGTTCGACCAATATCAGAAGAAATCTAGCTTATACTCTAATGAAGTTTTCGCTTGCAACAATAATAGCAAAAGTTTTAGCGACGCTAACATAAAGCTCGATTCTCTACCTCATCCTATTATCTAAAGCTTTCGATTTGATTGGTTCTGTTTCCTTCGTAGATAATTCATCAAAGATCATTTGACAACCCCTTTTATAATCACCTTGAGGTGACCAAAAAAAAAAAATATTCATCATGCTTCGGTTGCGGGTGCCATTGCTAAACCTATTATCTTGTCTGATTGCAATATAACGTTTACGATCAGCAGGGATAGCGTGATCTAGCTAGCTGCTCCCATTTGTCAGTCTATCTGTCTTTTCGACGCCTATACGCGCATTGAAACGATAATTACTTTCTCAATCGTATAAAAATTGGATTTGAAATATACAAAAAGATCTACCAGCCATGTTGTGAGCAATTTTAGAGATGTCGTAACTCAGAAGCAATTTTTTTCTTTGCAGTTTTCGTGAATTAACGATATTGGTCTGTAACAAAATTCATATTGGAATGTTATGTTCTGATTATAGTTTTAGAATAACTAATTTAATACAAAGTCGCAAAAACTATGGAAAAAACGACGTTATTTTTGTTGTATGACTAAAAAGTAATCACAACACGAGAATACACCTGTTTATGCCTAATACGATACACCGGCACCGAGGAACTCTTATCATATCTTGCGATTTAATATTGTGTACCAAATAATGGTGGATGCCAAAAAAATTGGCTTAAACTGAACCCAACCTTGCTTGCTAATTAAATTTCACAAAAGTGTAATTGTTTCTCATTCAAAGCAAAAGAACACTTAGACTTATAATTTACTAGCCCCTGTAGGCCTTGTCGGGCAATGTTTTCGTTCGTATGACTTTTTCGTCTTTTTGTTAGAAAAATAATTTTTTACAAATATTATATCTAGAAAGTGTTGCAAAATCGCAACATCATTGAATACGAGATTTATATAAAGAATTCTGCTCTCAAGGTCACTTTTTTTCCTTTTCACAAAGTTTCGTTGCAAATTTTAGAAACAAGTTAAAGAGTAAATGCATACGAAACCGTTTTTCTTCATATTACGCTAAAGCCCATAATAACGTTGCTAAAGGAAAAAATGAAATGCCATTGATTCGCTTAAAGGGCAGGCCATTGCAAATTTTTTAAAAACTCCTTTTTTTATAGGCTTAAATATTTAAGAATGGCATAAAAAGACACATGTCGACATGGAAAAATTTTTAATAGTCACAAAATTAGATTTTTCGAACATAGCAAGCAGCATAACTCAAACGAACTCAATTTTCATTTCTTACTTCAAACCTTCAAAACAGCATTCTTTAGTGACGCAAATGAAATTTTTCGATAAATTAATTTAAGTAATTTTTATTATCAAAAGAGTTAAAGTTTTTTGGTCGAAAATTGCCCTTTTTCACTCAAATCCTCGTCAATTACGCATCAACCAATATTTTCAAATTCAATTAATTAAATTGTTTTGTAAATTCGGATCAGTTATATCGTTTGCCGCAGAACTCCTTGAGCTGAACATATCTGCACAGAAAGTCTGCGATGTTGCCATTTTCTATTATATATGCAAACAAAATTTTTAAGTACTTAATGGTATGCTTAATAGCCACCTCAAATATTATTATTATGGTGCTAGCAAAAAACGAATTTTTGAAAAACCTTTTTTTTAGGTTGTGGTCTGCCCCATAAGTCGAATAGAACTTCGGTTTTCATATACAAGTAGGACAAGTTGCGTTGCATATACATGTGTAATATTCACATATATGCATATACATATATATAAGTATTTGTTATTCTTAAGGGATAAAAAGGGAAAACTTTACCAGAAACAACATTATCGTATGAGTATTGCTGACAAAAGTACAAGAAAACAATGTTGTATCGTTAACTGGTTGTTTGTGTAGCTATACTTTTGGTTTCTTTTGGGTGCTAAATTTTTATTTCCCTTTGTTTTTGTTTGTTATTTCTTTTGGCTTTCTAGTATTTTGATAGTTAGAAGACGCCCTGCCGACTGGGATAAATTTTACGCTAAACATATTTTCCTATGGACAAAGCACTAATAACGGATACGTATGAGTGTTACGAATAGAATTTATTTAGGAATAAAATTCCTTGATATAATCCGCAATAAGAATTTGCAACTCAACGCTATGACAGTGTTGAAGTGTTTTCGAAGTAAAGCCATAAATTTACTAAAAGACACGTTTCCTCAAATCGAGAAGGTAACATGCCATGATAAAAATCCCTACTTATTATATATATTGTATACTTTTAGATATGCTTTTTTAAAGCAAAAGTCTATAAAATTTATGTAAAATGAAAAATTTATACATTTATTTTGGGTATTGATGATAATATAATATTCATTTACCGTTGATTGTAAAAAATTTATGAAAATTAAAAAAATCATATAAGGTGAAGTAAAAAGTAATTTATTTATTTCTATAGTTTGCAAAGGGTATGATATAGGATATAGTAAGCAGTGAATTTATTTAAAGTCTGTCCATGTTGGCTTCTGTTCAATCGACAGGTAAATTGGGTATGCAGATAACAAGAGTCCAACGCGCGGATTGCGTTACAAAAAA